TTTAATTTCAAAAGACTTAATTATATTCATACATTTTGCGTATTAAATACAAATATTTTTCTTAATTAAAAATTTTATAATATATTTTTTTCTCCTATTACGTATTGTCACTTGGATTAAATATTAATTACTATTTTATATTTAGAGTTATTGTAATATTATTATATTAAGTGTAAATTCATAACGCATTGTAATTATATGACTAATACAAATTGTATTTAAGCTTTGCTTAAAAATTATTTTTAATTTAAACAATTCATTTTATTAGAAAATGTTTATTATTTTTATATTTCATGGTTATAAATCGAAAAATGGACTGGATCATTTAATTATAGATTTATATTTTATAAGAATTTATATGAATTACAATTTTTAGACATTGATAAGAAATTTCAATGTTAATAAATATCAATGGATAAAATGAATTTTTATTACATTTATTAGATTTTACTTTCTTTTATGAGTTAGTCTTCTTTTCTTTTTTTTTTTTTTTTATCGTGTTATTAAAATAATAAAATTATTTATACTATATTAATTTCAATAACTAAACTAATTTATCATTTATCATCACAAAAGTGTATATTGATTCATGAAATCGTAAATAATGACTAAATTTATTAAAAAATTCGAATTTATTTTTCTGAAAAATTGAAGTACATTTAAATAAACTAATTTTAAGAAAATTTTTATAAAGGTAATATTATTTTGACAGTTTAATGAGATCGCCGAATGTAATGAATTTCAAAAGTAAATAGAGTTCCAAATGAAGATGCACATGAAAATGAAATTGGTATTGACAGCAGTTGGGAAGTAATTACATTTCAAGCAAACACGAGATCTGATATATTGCAAAAAGTTTCTAGGAATATTCTCGATAATACTCTATGTCAAATATGTTTCCATTTATTATGTAATCTGAGCAAATGCGCGTCTTTAATAGACAAGGAATTGTTGCATATAACGTAAGTTTTTGGCAAATAATTTAATTATAAGTATAAATTCATAAGATTTTATTTTGATTTTCATTTACTATGCGAGTATATAAATAAATTAAAGTTAAGTCAATTGTACAAAAAAAAAATGTTCATGATTAATTTAATACTATATTGTAGTAAAACAAAAATTTTACTTTGCAATCAATTTATTTTGAATAAAACGTTTTATTTTCTGAAATGTCATTTTGTTAATTACAATTATGTATTGATATTGCAATATTCTCGTCACGATGAAAATCCAAATATTTATTACTCAAAAATACAAGCTTATATTATATAATGCAAATAATAGCTTTTCATGTATTTTGTACATTAATAAATTCATTTTAAATATATTTTCTTTATAATTTTTTTTAGGGAGAAACGGTAATCCATTAGTCAGTAATGGAAAACTCCTTGATAATACTTCATTTATATTACAATGCGCTGTTGATGTACTGTTGATGTAAACATGAGAGCTTTTCATATATTTGATTTCAATTCGAGTTATTGTACATTTTTAAATCTATATCGTTGAAAAATATAATCTATAAAATAAGTTCTTTTGAAGAAACTGAATATTTAAGATTAATAATTTTGATCAATTTTTTTTTTAATTTTAAATATTATTATAAGTATTTACAAAAAAGTTGATATGTATCTAATTACTTTAAGTCAAATTCTATTTGGTATATTGAAACATTTTATTAGTTAGAATTTTAAATTAATACTAAATTTTAAAGTGTTCAATAAAATATTAAGTTTTTGTGTATTTAGACGAATAGAGCAAAGATACTAAGATAAGAATTTCATCCATTATCATTTATTCTACTAATTATACTGTAGATAAATGACTGTTTAAGTAGATTGTAATTAACAGTTTCGTATAGTGTAAATAATTTAGGATCTATCATAGAATGAGAAATTAAAATTCCTTTGTAAATTTCACAAAAGTTATTTATTATAGTCGAACATAAAAATATAATAATTATTGTATATTAGTATATAATTGATAACGAAGAAAAAGTTTTACTATAATGGGTTAAAAAAGAGTAAATAATAATTCAATATTTCAAAAATAATTGATTTTATTATATCTATTGCATATATACGTTTATTATACCAGTTCAAAAGAAAGTGTTATAAAAATTTTAAATTCAATATGATATTAAATATTGTAGTTAAAAGATAAAACGAATATAAAATTACAAAATAATTGAATAATTATATGTATCAATATCAACTACTTAGACTCAATTAAATAGAGTACAATATCTTATAGAAATATTTAATGTTCAAAAAAATTAAATATGGATATAAAATTAAAAAATAAAGATATATTGAAAATTCGACGAAATTAAATACATTATAAAAAGTTGTCGGATAAACATAAAAAAATACACGTACAGATTTTGAAAAAAAAAAAAAAAAAAAAAAAAAAGAATTATGAATAATGCAAAATCGATGAAACAAACATATAAAAGTCACGGAGAAAACTATAAATAAAATAAGTGATAGAAAAAAATGAGGCCTTCAAGCTTTAATTAATAATAAGAAGTTTTTTTTTTTTTAACATAATATGAAAATTCAGGAAATAACTACTTTAAATTATATATTATAATGTAAATTCATAGATCAACATAATCAAATAGCAAATTTATAAAAAGAACAGTTAAATTTGCAAAAGAGAAACAAATAAAGGAGAAGAACTATACGAAAATAAAATGTAATTGATCATATAAATATATATCTATGCATATAATTTAATAATACATAATATTTTTGATAGATGGAACGATTCTTTTATATAAAGAAATATTGAATATCATTAGAGTTCATAACGTATAAATTTAGTGAATATTAAACCCATACTTATTTTTGTAATTAATTCATTTCATTATGTTAGCGATTTATCAGAGAAAAACTGTATGTGTACAATATCTCTAATATATTGAAATATACTGACGAATAAATTATAAAGGAACGATTCAAAATTTGTTTAAGTAATACGAAATTATAAATAATAATTTTTATATTTCACTGCCCATAGCATTATTTTGTGTTATCGCTAAAAATATTTAACACATAAATTAAGCATAAAATAAATAACAATTATTTAAAATCATTATCATCAAGAGCTTGATTGGGTTCTAATAACTAGTCTTAAAATAATACAATTTTTATTATAGATTTCAATAGGAGCAGTAGAATTTTTAATTTTATATTATTTTAATTTTAATTCTTTTTATCGCTTTTAAATGTATATAAATGCAAATGTACTTAAATATTAACTCACATTATTATAGAATAATTTATTTATTTATCGGATATTTTTGAATACGGTGTTCTTACTTACACCTGAATTATTCAGAAATATTTATCTTTAAATAGTGTATTTTGTAATAACATAAATGGATGACATTAGCTTAGTCGATGATAACACCATTTATTAAATTCAAACATAATTTTGTTATTCAATTACTCAGCGTATTAACTTCTCAAATTTTTAGTTTTTCTTTTTAGTGCCACCAATTGCCGAACTTATACAATGAAACTCAGTTTTTTAGTTGTTGCAATTTGTATTATTGCGTTTAATTATGAACTTTCACGTATTTAACAAATTTTTATTTTACTATTTTGTTTATTAATTTTCTTCTTTCTTGTTTTAAGTTTAATTTATATTTTAATTTATATTTTTTTATTGTATTTGAAATTTTTCTATACTTTTTTAATATTATTTTTTTACGTTAAAGAATTTGTTTAAAATTACCTTTTAATTTTTCTTTGCCTTATTAAATGAACAAAAAAAGAATATGTTTGGTCACTTATTTCTTCTTATTCTAAGGTTGTTGAATTTATAACGTTTTGTAAAATTTATTTATACGATTTTTTTAGTTTAGTATTTAGTGAAATTTAATTTATTCTGTGCTTTAAATATTCTTATATATATATATATATATATTTTTTTTTTTTTTTTTTTAATTATCTTTGTAAATATTAAAAGTTTTTAAATATATTTTTACATTTTTTGCGTATTGAAATTTTACTTTTTCTTACGTTTAATTTTATTTCTATTTATCAATTTTATATTTCATTTAATTTTAATTTGCATTGATGAGTTTTTAATTGTTATCCTATTTATCCTTTTGAATTTTATGTTTTTCTGTTTTTTTTTTTTTTTTTTTTTTTTGATAAGAAAATAATATATTTTGTTAAATTTAAAAAAATTGTTTGAAAATAATATATTTTGTTAAATTTAAAAAAATTGTTTTCGATAATTTTCAGTTTCGTAACTGCTTAAAATTTAGATAAATTTTTAAAAAATTTTCCCTAAATTTTCTTATCTTTGATATCAATTTTTAAACTTGTTACTCTTCTGTTTTTATTTAATATCTCTATTTCGAAGACCTGAATTTTTATCGCTCTACAGTAAGAGATTATAATAGTTTACATATTGCAAAACACATTTTCTTTTTTAATAGATTTTTGTATTGATGTTATTATTAATTTTATGTTTTTTTCTTATTTATTTAATTTTATAATGTCATATTAATTTTTAATAGATAAGTCAAATTTATCATAGTTACCATTTTATCATTCACATTTCAATTCTTAATGATTCTTAATATCTGATACATATTCTTCTATATTGAGTTTTTTTTTAACTTATTACGCAACAACGGGTATTGACATTTTTTTTTTTTTACTATTACTTTTATAATTTTTGTAAATAGAATAATGTAAACTTCATATGGGCAATGTTAAAAAATTGTAATGTAAAAATTATTTTTTTTTTTATATTAGAATAATGTATATTAGCATAACAAATTAAAAATTTGGCAATCAATGAAGACATTTAAAAATCCTATATAAACGTGAAATAGTAATTCATTAATATTGAAAACATGTGAAAAATATTTAATAATAATGTAATTTATAAAATTTTTGGAATATAATATTAATAATATACATATGAATTTTATCATAGAGATATATTAAAGTTTTACAGCATTTGTAGGTGTTGCTATGAGTATATTTAAAATTTTGTTGTTTTAATATTTATATGTTATACAAATATTTATAATTTTCAATAGCCGTATTCTTAATATTGGAAGTGCCTATTTTGAAAGCACAGATGTCTAATAATTTTATAAATTATTTATTTCTATCTTAAAATATTCTTCTTTTCATTACATGATTTAAATTTATTAGTACATTTATTGAAAAAATTTTCTATTTTATATAAAACTTGTCGAAGAATTTTTATATCTGAGGATTGCAATATTTTTCAGCGATTTTTGCAAGACATTTTAGGATTATTGGAGGTGAAAACGCAGGTCTCCATGAATTTCCATACTTTGCATCATTTCGTTGGATCTCATCTAATATTCATTTTTGTGGTGGTGCTATTGTGAGCCAACGTTATATTGTTACAGCGGCCCACTGTGTTTCTGACTTACATAAAAAAAAGCGCGATGTAGCAATTTATGTGGGAGTTAGTAATAAAAATACTTCTGGAACGATGCTTACAATTCGTAACATCCACGTTGATCCCGAATACTCATCGATAACTAATGTTGAACAAATGAACCGGCACGACTTTTCTATTGTTAAAGTAATCAAAATTATTTTTTAAGATGCTTTAAATAATAATATTTTGGTACTTCATTTATTTAAAACACATCTATATGTATTTAAAATAGTCGCAATTTTATGATTTTAAGAAAGTTTGTATATGGTATATTATAATAAATGTATAGAATGTTATTTTAACAAAAATTCGTAGCATAATAAATTTAATTAAATGATTATTGCCATGTAACTCAAATAACCAGATAATTGAGAACATATGTTTTGTAAAATTCTAGTTATCAGCTTGTTTAATATATTATTGAATTTGTATATTATTAATTATAACATTGAAGTAAATTTGCATTGGCCCTATTTTTATATTATTAGCTGATATTATTCTTGTACGCCTTTATTTTAAATAGCAAATTTTAAAAGATATTTTTATATGCAATTTATGAGAAATTATTATAAATGTCTGCCGACGAATTTTAAACAAAGAAACGTTTTTTTATTTTAGGTTAAAGAAACAATTATTTTTAACGAAGCTCAAAACAAAGTTGAGCTTGAAAATCAAGAGATTCGTGAAAACGATCTTGTCTTGCTAAGCGGTTGGGGATCAATTTCTTATCCGAATAATGATTTTGCGGACATTTTACAAAAGACAACCATGAGAATTCTTGACAATAATAAGTGTTCCCAGAGAGTTGGCTTTGTCGTTCACTATGAGCAAGTATGTGCATTCAAACGTAAAGGAATTGGCGCATGTATTGTAAGTTTTTGCAAAATAATGTAGCATAAGATCATTATAATATAAATTCTTCGATTAATATATAGTTTATATTAATATAAAAAATAGCTCTATTCATTCATTAAAATTAAAGTGCTTTAAATATAATTTATTTTTAATGTGTTAAAAATGTTACAGGGTGATAGTGGTAGCCCACTGGTCATAAATGGAAAACTTGTTGGAATTTCTTCGTTTGTACTACCATGTGCTTTAGGCCAACCTGATGTATTTATCAGAATTTATCCTTATAAAAACTTTATTAAATTTATAACACAAACATAAATTTATTTGTTATTATATTGAGTTCTGAAATAACAATTTTTTTTTTTTTTTAATTAAAGAAAACAAGTATATGACAAAAAATAAAACTTTAACATAAGCTTCTTATAAGTATGACAAAGAAAAAAAATTAGAAAAGATTTTATTATATATTTTAGTAGGCGGAACTATCATTATTAAATGAAAATTTTTTATTTATATTTTTTTAAAAATAATTCAATAAAATTTAGAATAATACATGTTTTTATTAATATTATTTTTATTATAGTAACGACTATATAGTAGCTTATATCTTAATCAGATAATTATCGTCCATATCGAGAATTTAATGATATATAATATAAGAATACAGATAAATAAAGTATATATATAAATAAATAATATAGGTTATTTTCATATATTTGTAATGAGTTTTTTATTTCACATAATTTTGAAAATGCTTTTAACGAGTATATATGAATTTCATATTATTTTAAGATATATATTGATGAATACAAGAAAAGATGGATTTGAAAATTGAACTTTTGATATAATTTAACATTTATGTTATTTTTATATTTTAATTTTATCTCATATTTTTATACGTCACATTTTAAAAAAGTAAATAAAGTGTTTTTTAATTTTTATCATAAGTTTTCTAAATTATTTTTTTCTACATAAGTTTATATTGCTGATATTATTAGCTCGGAATATTAAACAAAAAATTAAATTAAAAAATTACAAGCACTTGTAAATATAATTTTTATTGTTTCTGAGATGATAATAATTTTATTCTAGTTTCTATGTTAGATACTGTTGTAGTACGGTAAAGATGAACATTGTAAGATTCTTATGTCTACCTTACATGAATTTATATCAATTATAATTATAAATATATTATTTTTTAATTTTTATTCCATTATATTAGAATACGGTAATTATTTAACATTTGCTATTTAATTAATGTCTAAGTGTTATATTAATTTGTTAAAAAACGATTACAATTATATTTTTCAACTAACCTCTGCTATTGGTAATAATAAATGGTGTTCTAAAAATCATAAACTGCTTCATGTAAAGTGTTTAATAAATCTAGTTGAATAGTTGACTGTTCATCAAAATTGTTTATATTAGTTGCGATAAATTTGAGCGACATAATAATGATTGCATCAATGTGTAATTTCAAGGAGACATTCGAATAATCTGGTTGTAAGGAATACGATGCCGAAAGAGCAGCATAAATTATGCTGAACTTGGATAAGATACGAATGACTAATTGAAACAGAATTGCTATAATCTTCAATAACAGAAGCTAGAAGTTGCTCAATATACAAATCACATCAAAATATTTATTCGTAATGCAATGTTCAATTGAACTCCTTCGCATTCATACATTAGTTGTTTTCTCACCGGTAATTCTTAACTAAATATACTTAGACTAAAATCGTATAATTTTTAATTTACCATAAAAGGTTTTCGTATATTGAAAGAAAATTTTTAGTAATGTTTACATTATCAAGTATTTCTAAGATTATAATAGCTTGTTGGTTAAAATAATCTTCACATGATTTTCATTTTTATTATTTGAATTTTTTTAAGTAATAAATAAAATGTTAGACTAGGATTTATGACTTTTTCATTTTTTAATAGTGAAAAAGGCTGAAAATCAATGTTTTAACTAATACGTCATTTAGGTTTAGTGTAAAATTAGAGAAAAAAAAACATTATTATACAATGATATTTTGACAATTTTTTATGGATAATGCAAATAAAATTGAATATAAGTTCTGTACAGGAGAGTTATATTTGATTAACCAATGATTAACAACTAATGCCTCATATAATATTTTTCAGAATTGTTTGTGTTAGTTTGATTTTGTAACCAAATGTCTAAAATATTTAAACATTTTAAATCAACGTAGTTTCTATAAATATTGGAGCTTAAAAGGAGAAAATAACTGATTGTATAATTCTTTATTTAACATATATATAAATATATATATAGCCTATGTGCATCAAGATGATATATTTATAAATATTATACACTTATTTTTTATACATTATTTAGCTATTACATTTTATAGGTTAAAAAGTTTATAATTAAATGTATGCTACGTTTGAGGCTTTAAAATTATAATATAAGAATCTTTTAGGAACAGAATAAAAAATTATATTATTTACTCGATCCAGTTTTATCGTAGAAGGAGGCATTGAAGCAATTTAAAAATTACGAAGTAAACAGAAGCATCATTTTGTAATGAACTATATTTCAGTGGATTTCGAAAAGTGATGGTGTAACTGACAAGAAATACGATATCATTAAATAATTAATTAATTCATTGTATAAATATATAAAGTACAAATATATAAAATCTACATTCAAGATGACGTAACTCTACTTAGTTTCATGAATTATTAAATAGTTAAGGTTACAATAATATAATCAAGATTTATAAAATTTAAATATAGTCAACTCAGATAACTTCAATGATCCATTACAAAAAACAAATTTTGCTCTATTAATCGTACAATAATATATAACGTAAACGAGTCGAGAAAGTTGCGAGCTAGCCTACGCTAGCATCTGATGTCCATGAAAAATATGTATTTTTCTTCGTCAAAATCATTTTTTTGACTGCGTTAACGAAATTGAACTTGTAAAGGGTGAATTAGTTTATCTTGTTAGAAACTCCATGGCTATGTTATCTAAGTAGGTTATATTAACTAGATAAAGCTAAAAGATTTGCAAGTTATTTTATATAAGAAATTGAAGATGATTCGATATGTCAGCCATTTATGCATAATTTTAATAACGTTGAATGACGTTATGACGTACTACATATTATGTAAATGTTATGAGTTACGTCTGAAGGATTATACGAAATGCTATAATTTATATATTGATGGAGTATGTAAATACTATTATTTGAATGAATAGAAGTTGTTATTTTTCTGAATTTAAATCAAGATAAATATTTATATATTACTGTTTAATTTTGATTGTTATATTTAAGATTAATGATTCGGAATCGCTTTGAGCCAGCCTTGTTCAGAGAAAAGTTACAGATTCAATATATTTAAAAAAGAAATTTTTTCAAATCAAATAAAATATGTAAATAAGTAATGAATGTATTTATTTATTCGCAAAGTGGTTAATAATAATTAATTATAATAAATTAAAATAATAATAAATAATAATTTTCAAATAATAATTAAAGAATTTGAATTTACTAATAATTGTACTAGAATATATAAACAAACTAAAATCTGTAGTAGTCAATTAAAATGTACATAAATTTTTCACAAATTAAGAGACTTACCTACAATAAATCAACTTTATTTAATGAATGACATAAAACATATTTACACTTCATGTATCTATCATTATTCATATATCAATTATTTTATTATTATTATTATTAAGTTGATAATAATATGTCACTATAGGATATTTGTTTACTCTTAGTATTATAAATTAAAGATAAAATATTAATAATCATAATTCTTTTAAAGTAAATGAAGTAGATCTAATTTTAATTTAAATATTTATTAATGTTTCTATTAATATATATATATAAATCAAGACTTTCGTTGATAATTTTATATGGAAAAATTGAAACATTTTATTGTGCAATAATGCGTTATTGTTGATATAATGCGTAAGTGCTTTCACAATTTTTTTTTATGTAAATCCTTATTATTTCGGATTTTTATAGTTTCTGCTTTCCAGATTAGTAGAAAAATACATTCTTGTTATTAAGCATACAATTTAATATATTAATATTAATTTCATACATTATGTTAATTTAATTACATTATGGCATATAATTATTTTAACTGTGAGTATTTAATTAAATTATTTTCCATTTTCAAACTTGCCTCAAATTTACTAAGAATGTTCTTAACATCTAATAATTGCGAATATATATTTCTTCTTCAAATATTTGTATAAATTTTGTATAATAAAAATTCTATGTAAAAATAAGACGAAAATTCTTTATTTTTATGATCATTTGTAATTATACTATTGGTAAGTTAGTAACGTAAATAATTTCTACGGTATTAATCCTTTAAGTCATTAGAAGTCGTACTTTTTAAAAAATATTTTTGTAAATATATTTACACTGGTTCAAAATTAAAATATATTAATACGACATTATCGATACTTATTATATTTTACATATTATATTTGTTTTCAAGAAACAATTTTAATGACAAATGATTTTTATATTCAATTATATTAAAGACTCACTGCTCATATTTGTATATATGTAAATAAAAAATAAATATTTTATTTAAACAAAAATTTTGCTAAAATTCGATAATCATTCCATACAATACTATAAAATACAATGGATTAAAATATTAAAAAAAAAAGAAGAAGAAATTATTGTATATAATATTAAATTTCATTCGATTTTTTTGAAAATAAATTTTATAAGTTTTAACATTAAACATTTTACATATGGAATTCTAAAAATAATTTGTTGCTTTATACTTTTATATAATTTAAAGTCCATTAATGATAAAGTAGTAAATTAATTAAAAAAATATGGCAAATATCAAAAATATACATGAGCAGTTTTTATTTTCATATCGAACGATGAATTATAACAATACCGTTTTTCATATTATGATCAAATAATGAATATATTATTAATATTTCATAATATTGTATAGATTAAATTTAATTACGTTAGTGATTAATTATTTTCTATGGAATTTTAATAGCTGTTTAAATATTTTAAATTTTTATGAAATTACATTATTAAAGTTATTTTATTTTTCGAATACATTTTAATGTATTAATATTAAAGTAATAAATTTTTATGAATTACCAAAAATATGATGGCTTAGCTATCTTGTGAATACAATTTAATATTATTTAATAATTATACATAATGGAATTATTCTCATATTAACGTATATTAAGACGGTTTCTTTTATATGAGTTCGAATTTTCAAGTTTGAATTATTTGTAATTCTTTACAATTGAATATTTAATCTTCTTAGATTTAAATGATAGAAACTCTTGTATCACGTAAACGTAGTTTTTAAAATAATAAGGCTGTTCAAATTTGTTAATTTATAGCATCTTATGTCATAACACAATTATGTTTGGGTAGCAATAGAAATACATTTAAGAATTTGATTTAAATTTATTTCAAAATATCTATATTAAAATGTATTCATATATAAATTGAGCTAGTAATTTTTACAAAAAAAGTTTTGGTGTTTTCAATTTAAATTTATCTGGATATTTCAAACATCAAATTCTTTATTTTTATCGCCATTGACAAATATTTTGAAAGACTGTATACAGATAAATTTAAATGTGTATTTTTTAAAAATGATTATCATATGCATGATTTTGATTACTGTATATTCATTTAGTCAACAATAAGTTCATCTATAAATTAAATTTCAAAACTACAATTTCCATTTGATTACTTGCAAATGAAAAATGAATATCATAAATATAATTTATTTTATTGTATCATTAAGTGCCGGTAAGTTCAAATTATATTATTATATTTACAATACAATATATTCATTAATATAATATTACACGAATATTTCAGCAAGTTTATTATATATTTCAAAGCTCATATATATATATATATATATATATTTATGAGCTTTGAAATATATATATATATATATATATATATATATATTATATTAGATAATAACAAATTTTTTATTCTTTAAAATAATATAATACCTATTTTTAAAAATTTGTAAAATTATAATATCATTAAGTTGTAAGTTTCTTAATTATGTTATCATTTAGATATTTTAACATGTTTTAAAGTTATATAAATATTTTAACACGTTTTTTTTTCTTATAACATATTATGTAATGTAAACATGGTATCTGGACATATTATTGATATATTTCTCATACGTAATTGGTACTTTTTTTTAATCCAAAATCAATATTTTAAAACATTTAATTTAAGTTTCTTATTTACATGTATACAGCACTCAACATTCTGAACATTATTTAGAATAGTAAATAAAAATATAATTAAAAGTTGTATCGTATTTAATATAAGAAGGTGAAATTATTGAACAGATAATAAGAAGGTTTTATAATATTTTTACTAGTAAAAATATTTTTAAAATATTGTAATGTTAATACTAGTTCGTTATATTATGAAATTTTATTCATAAAAATTTCCAATAATTTTATTAAAATTTATGTAAATTGTGGACTAAGCTTTTATTTTCTTAAATATAATTTTTCAGGTGTTTTTTCTAAACATGTAAGGATCGTTGGTGGTCGAGATGCCGATATAACTAACTTCCCCTATGCTGTATCATTCAGATTAGTCCATTCAAATGAGCATATTTGCGGTGGTGCAATCATCAGCGAATGGCACGTTTTAACGGCAGCTCATTGTATTGAAGACTTTGCGAATAAAGTAGCAGTAATTCTAGCGGGAACAACAAACATTCTGACTACCAATGGATATTTATATACTATTAATCAGATTTCACTTCACCCGGATTATACGGGGGAAATGCAATTTGAATCAATGAATCGAAATGACATCGGTATTGTTAAGGTTTGTTAGAAAATATTAATTGTGATGTATTTTAATCGTTGTAATGTATTTAAATCGTTTTAAAAATATCTTTAAATATATTATTAACTAAAAATTAGATCATTATAAATTTGTTATTATCATAATTTATTAAATGATTCCATTGTATCTTATAAATATTTACTTATTAATTTAAATAAAAACAAATATAATTGTATAATAGAGTAGCCGCATCATACTTGAAAATATATAGAGACATAATTTAATTAATGATGTATACCTTCATTAATTAGAATATTTGAATTTGAGTATTTTAAA